AGAGAGAGAGAGAGAGAGAGAGAGAGAGAGAGAGAGAGAGAGAGAGAGAGAGATGGAGAGAAGAGAGCATTTCGCCGAACGAGAACTAGTCAGAGAAGTAAGCCATAATGATGGCGGCACGGTGCTTCTTCACCCATTTTGCATGTTCACTTGGCAAACTGTCTCCGTCTCTCTGTTGGATGCCCGACGACGACTCATTCGTCGCAGATTGGGCTCGCCATCGGCATGTCCCAGCCTGGACCGAACTCTGAGCAAGAGTTACATCAATTCATCTTCAAGAACCCCAACACCGATTCGGGGCAGCCTTTCCAGAAGGTGAGGCGTAACGCGGGTATCGCCTGTTTCGTGGAAGCGCATCATCGCGACATGGTGGCTCTCTTCTGATCGTGTGTGGTGTCCCGGGTAGCGGCTGCGTGTCTTCTTGATTTTGGTTGGCGTGGGCTTGCACTTTTTGTTCTGGCACCTGCAATAATTAATGTGTTGCTTATCGGTACTACCGATTGTGTGCTTCCGCTGCTGCTACCGCGGGTCTCTCTCTGTCCCGTCCTCGCGGCCCGACCCTGCTTCCATTCAGGTCCTACTGGTGCTGGACAGTGTCGACTCGCTGCTCGAGCGGGACGGAGACGCCCAGGACCGTCTCGTACAATTCCTGTGTAACCTCTGCTCCATGGGCGATGGAGGCCACCTGAAGCTGCTCGCGACGAGCGAACACAAGCTGCTGAGCGGCAACGAGTTCTTCCGCGGCGGCACCGAGATGGTAGCCAGAGTCGAGCCTCTGGAGACCCGACACGCCTCCGAATTGCTCATGGACAACCTCCCACGGAACTTGAAACTGAGGGAGCTCGGTCTCCAGAGCGGCGGTCTCTCGCTCGCCGACGTCCTGAGCGCGGTGCAAAATCACCCGGTCCTCAAGGAGGTATTGGAGATTGCCGAGGGTCACCCGGGGACGCTGGTGAGAGATGAACCCGATTTTTCTTCGCTGGTGACCGACTGATCTTGTTAGCGGAGGAGAAAGAGGGGTTGAGATGTGGCGCCTATGAGCGTTTTCGGCGGCATCTCTGTTTCTCTTTCGTGAACGAATCCCTCTTGAAACCTGCAACGACATTGGGTGTTTCTGTGCGACTTGAAAGAATCCGGCGTGTTTACCGATCACGTTCACCTGTCTTGAGTGCTCGCGCGACCGGCCGCTTGTGTTATTTTGATCTCCTTCAGGTGCGGCTTGCTCCGGTACTCCTTGACGGGTCTCTGAACGACGCTTGCAGGTTGAAAGAGATGACGACTAGGCGAGTCTTTTTGCAGCGAGAGTCATGGTCTGGAATTTTTTTGAGTGGCTGTTTCTCTTGGGCGCGGGAAAAGTCGCTTAAAAGTGGGACCTCGCTACAATCGGCAGCCTCTCCGAAGAGTGGCAATCTTGAGGGTGTGAGCGGTTCGCGTCCAACATAAATCCCCTTTCTCATGCACGACCCCCGTGCAGCAGAGTTGATACGATCCACGTGTGGTCTTGCCGCCGCGTACTTTCTTACCCCACTTGCCATCTGAGACAAAGACGCAATCCCCGTCGCCCGTCGCCCCTCCAACCCGTGCCTCGATCTTCCTGGGCGACATTGCCGGTCGGTGAATCCTCGAAACCCTCAACCCATTCCGAGAGAAGATGCCGTGCAGACTTCAGAGATAAATCTTACCGGCGCAGAAGGTACGACCGCTCGAACTCCAACCGTACTGCAGTCAGCAGCAAAGGAGAGCTTAGCGTGACCATGTCCCTGTCCAGTAGCACGGGTGCACCCAGATCGCCGATGATACTCAGCCCAATTGGACCCGCCTTCGGCGATACCCACGTCCAACGCAACCGTGGCGACACGAGATTCTTGCAGCGCGACAGCAGCAGCGGCGGCGGCAGCGGAGGCAGTGGACGGGCGGGGATGACGAGCCTCGTCCGGCCTGTGCCGAGCGAAACGGTGAGAGAAGGCCCCGCGAGGGCCCACAGCAGCAGCCCACCGGCGAGGTGCAGGAACCCCGAGTGGCACGGCCAGCCGCAGCCTCCTCCACACTCCCTCCTTCACCAGCAACTCCAGGAGTACCGCCGGGTGTCGGCGCAAGAGGCACCGTGCATCGAACCCGAATCCTCCCAGATGGACCTGAAGGAGCAGCGCGCCTGGGATCTGGCCAGGGCGGCGGGAGTGGTCGACCGAGGTTGTCGCCTCATCTGGGTCACCGCCACGTCAAGGATGGCGAGGGGCTGCCGACAAGACGACGGCGGCGGTAGCGGCGGCGGATGGTCCTCGAGGAGGGGGGAAATCGTGTCGTGGGAGTGCCTCCAGGAGAGCCTGATGGAGCACCTCAGGGAAGGGACGAAGACGACAAGGAACTGGGACGATCCTATCATTTTGCCACACGGGCGCGTCGTGGACACGCCACAGCTCGAATTCATCCGCGGCATTCTTCGTCGAGGGCAAGAGGCGGTGGCCAAGGCGCGATGGGGGGCGACGGGGGATGAATGTACGGAAGTTGGTGGGGACGGCCGCGACGACTTCGTCTCGGTGGAGGCGTTCGCGAATTTCTCGCAGTGGTGGGCTCCGCTAATGGCGACGCTGGGCATCATCAGGAACGACTGGGCAACGACGCGTCCCGTCAGGGTGCATGGGTTCATGAGCAGGGTGGCGTCGAAGAGACTGCTGATGCAGAGGGAGTGTGGGACGTTTTTGCTGAGGTTCAGCGAGAGTAGAATGGGGGCGCTGGTCATCAGCTTCACACAACCTTCGGTGAGCGTTTCCCGCCTCTCGCGAATTTCACGGTGTCTGGTTCCATTCATTTCGTGTGCGGGAAGGCTTGCTTGTTGCCTGCAGGGCAGGTGCGTACTTGTGACTTCCATTTCCCTAAGCAGGCCGACCCGCGGGTTCTTTTGCTAGGCAACGGATTTTTTCGATGTGGCGCCCACCCAGCTCGCGCTCACCCAGTCCGATCAACCCGCGCATCGTGCTACAACAATTCCAGTTGAGATCGGGCCGGCGCTCCCTGAGCGTCAAGCACTCCCTCGTGGAGGTCAAATGGGGGGGTCGTTGCTGTATCCAGGCGGAGAAGGGAGGCATGCGTTGCTACGGGTCGTTGCACGATTTCGTGAGACAGATTCCTGAACTCAAAAAGCTGTACCCGGATATTCCCAAGGAGGAGGCCTTCGGCGAGACACCAAGATCGCCCCCGGCAACCGCTAGCGCGCCGGGTGCGGCACGAAGAGACGAACTGGTGGCGGAAATTGAATCATTGGTCAAGGGGAAAATGTCTGCGGTACGTTTTCTCGAACGGGGGCGAAGGACTTGCAGGGGTTATGCGATAGGTCGCAGACAACAGAAAATTACAATTCTGAATGAATTTGCTGTGAACAAAGCCCGTCACAGAGTTGTTTTTTTCCCTTTTTTTGCGCATCTCAACGCACAATTCGGACATAAACAACCGTGGAAGTTGCCCACTGACTGATAAACGATAATGTTGGTTATTCGCTCCAGACCAGAGATCCAGCCGCACGGAAATATCCAAGGATGTTCAAGGTTCGTTTTTTTCCGCACCGCACCGCCACATTTCGAGGCGAAAAAATCTGCACCGCACCGCACCGTGAAATTTGGAGACGAACAAAACCGCACCGCCGCACCGTAACATTTCGAGATGAACAAAACCGCACTGCATCCCACCGTGGGTAGTCAGAAGGTACCGTAGATACGGCTGTTTTCACGGGGCGCTTTGTCCTTCTCCGTTGCCAAAACCGCCGTAGAACCCCCGTAAACAGTGGAAAAACCGCGATAAACCGCAGGTATGTCACGCTTTTTCCGTGCGGACGCACGTCAGAAAAATCTTCATCTGTCTAATTGAGTTGTTCGTGAGGGAGGCTAAGTGGTTGTCGAGGTCGGCTCTGACTGAGTGTAGAAGGGACGCGTTTGGGATGGTTGTGAACATGAAACGCCTGGTGCTGCCGTAACTATTCTCGTTGTGCTTGCTATTTGTACTGGAGTTCCAACAGTTCCAACAGCAGTAGATGCAGTGAGGAATGTAGCTACTGTTCATGCTTGTTGTAGGAACGTAAAGTGATTGGAATAGAATGGAATCAATGAACAGCAGCAGCGCCTTCTCAATTGTGTCTAGGGTTTTCGGGTTTGTCTTCTGGCCGCAAGGCCGCAGAAGTTATTGTTGATGGCCTCCATGCACAGCACAACATGTACTACAATTTTCTTTCGATGGACTAAACCTAACGTTTTCCACGAAATCGTAGATACCCCGTCATTTTGTCACGGATAACCGTGGTACTTGGGTTATTTCTTCGACGGTACTCCGCCACCAAGGCCGCGGTTCGCGCGGTTTTTCTAACCGGGGTATTACAACCCTACCATATGAAAACCGTGCGACAGTGCGCCGCACCGAACCGCAACGCCTCATTTCGAGAACACCGCACCGCACTTCACCGTGATACGACAAAACCGCACCGCAACGCGCCGTTAACTTTCGAGTTGAATACACCAGACGGCACCGCACTGTGACCCTGTCAAGGAACTAAAAACCGTACCTCGGTGCGGTTTCACACCGTAAACATCCCTGGAAATTCTCTCGTTCTCCCTAAGCTCTGCTCGAGATCACCGATTCGAAAGTCAGCTGCCGGTTCGTGCTCACCCATGCCTCTTTTTCTCGTGCTTGTTACCCGTACGTGTTGCGGCAGTTGGAGGACAATCGACAGCTGGCGTGCCCACGCACGGCGAAAAAGGGGGAATAGTTCAGAGTGAGCTGACCGCCGATATCCACGAAAAACCTGCAGCTGCTACTACTTCCCCTCGGGACCCCAGCGAGCACCCGACGCCTCACGCGCAAGGAAAAACATCCTCTTCATTGGAGGAACGGTTGGAATGGGTGTTGCCTTCAAAATCACAGGCACAAGCGAATGCATGTTACTAAATTTGTCTCGTTATGGTCAAGAGATAACAACAACAGCAAATCTACAGGGAACGGACCGAAAATGTTGGCAGCTACCTATTATGCAGTCGTACCATGCGGCAGATAGACTATACCTTGTAGCCCAATGAGTTGTTCGTATACGTCCTTTACTTGGAAGGGGAAGACGTTTTATCTTTTGAATTAGACACGCAAGGGGAGTAGGGAGAAGTGAAGCCCCCGTTGGAGTTCGAGGGGTCCCCGCACATGCAACCATTTAAAGTTGTACATATGCCCCATCTGGGTGCCCTCTGTTGTTGCCGGTAGAAGTAACCAGTCCGTTTCCAAACACACGAACACCCTCCCCGGTTTGCACGGGAATGGCAAACCTAACGTGGGGCATGGATACCCCTGATCTACCAAAGGGACTTAAAACAACAACAGGCTCGAGGGAAAACCCGGCCAACCGGATCAAAAACCCTCGTCTAACACCCTAAATATAGAAAACCGTCGCTATCACGGAGGATTCCATCGGCCGCACTTCCAAGATAAGACCAAGGCAGGACAGATTGAACCGGTCACGCTGATTACACACCCGAGGCAACGCTCTCGGCGTTTCTAGGCTCCAGCCGCGGGTGACGCGCTGGCACAACGCTTTTCCTGCGTGACGTACAATGGTCATATATGCTAAAACCACCACATAAACCAAACAGAACAACAGAACACTACATCGGTAGGTTCATCAGAGCCTTCCGGTGGTACTCTAACTTCTCTCTGCCAAGGACCTTGGTCAGCATGTCGGCGTGCTGCTCTCCAGTCGGAACATACTCTGCAGTGATGTTGCCCGACTTGAACAGCTCGCGAATGAAATGGACGTCAATGTGCTTGCTCCTCGCTGAGCTGAACGGGTTCTCGATTAAGGCGAGAGCCCCCTTGTTGTCCTCAAGGACCTTGATCTTCGCCCCACTCGTCTCGGGTACTATGAACGACAGAACGCCACCCACAAACAACGCCTCCTTCACGCCCTCCCCGGCTGCCATATACTCTGCTTCCGAGGTCGACTGAGCCGTCACTGGCTGCGTCTTGGTGGATGCACACACTACGGTACCACCTACGGTCACAGCTAGCCCGGTCGTAGAACGCCTGTCTACTTCGTTGTCAGCGTAGCTGGCATCGACAAACACGCTTAGGTCTAGTCCTGCCCCCCGTATGCAGGTGATGCCGAAGTCCTTCGTGAAGTTCAGGTAGGACATGATCCGCACAAGCGCGTTCCATATCCTCCCGGTGGGTGAGTGGGCGATCTTCTGGAGCTTGTTCAGAGGCAGGGGGATGTCTGGCCTCGTCAGCTTCGTCCACATCAGGCACCCGATCTCCTCCCTCACAGGCTTATCCACCGCGGGCTCGTCATCTCTCTTCGGCCCTAGGTCGACATCGGTGGCAGCAGGGGTGAAAGTGGTCGTGGTCACATCAAACCGCTTCAGCATACTCTCAATGTATGCTGTCTGGGACAGCTTGGTGATGCCATTTTCTACANCTCGTCAGCTTCGTCCACATCAGGCATCCTATCGCCTCCCTCGCAGGCTTATCCACCGCGGGCTCGTCATTTCGCTTCGGCCTTAGCTGTGGGTCTGGGAGTGGTTGCGAAGACACGCTGGCGTCGACCTCGGCCCCGAACGCCTGCTGTTCCGGGCCCAACACCTCCTGCATCTCGCGCCTGTTCATCTCCATACGGCATGTCTGCTCCTCGTCCCACTGCTCCTTCACAAGCGAGTTGCAGATGTAGTCCTTAACAATCCCCGTACCGCCAGTTTCAGGATGGTCGCCAGCAGTGCCTCCTAGGGACCGATGTTTCTCCGGGCCCAGGCATCTCGCCGGCACCTTGCATCTCCCGGGTCTGCTTCCGCGTGCGGCCACTCTCAAGCCCGTGGTGCAGCGGGCCAGCGTTCGAGGCGCCCCAGAGGAGTTTCTTCCCTTCTAGCCCGCGGGGGTAGCGGTCGTCGGCTGGATCATACTTCAACTCCTCGAGGTTCTCGGAGTCGCCGGGATCACCATCGCTACCGCCGTCCCCACCTGGGTCGCGGGAGTCTTCGCCGCCCGGGCCGCCGGCACCGCCGGCGTCACTGCTGCTGCTGCTGCTGCTGCTGATGCTGCTGCCGGTGGAGCTGTCACTGCCTCCGCCGAACTCGCCCCTTCCCGAAGGGGGCGACGGGGGAACGCTGCCTCCGGCCCCCGGAATCCCGTTGCCGGGTGCCGTCGGCGCCTCCTCGCGCACAAACGGCGTCGCTTGCCCTGGCCCA